CCCATCTCTTTATCGATGGTTTAAGGTTTTGTTTATATAAAATGAAAATAGATTTCATATGACACTACTTAGATTCAAATTGTAATCAAGTCTCTCATTTTCTATTTTATATAACATTTAGTAATTAATTTCTCATAATTGAAACTTAAATCACAAAATTCCATTTTATTCGTCTTAACTCCTTATTCAATAATATTTCCTTCTTTGTGGACAATTGGTTTTGGTCTATTCAAAATAACATCTTGAGTTAATAAAAAAATTGAAGTTTGAAAGATATACTCACATACTCTATCCAAAATTTAGACTTTTTATAGTCATATTTTCGTGTCCTATATTTTAGAAAATAAAATTCCGACACTTGAATACGTAACCATATCTGATATCCATACTTAAGTCTGGGCATCATAGTCCTAGTGTACATTTCTTTGGATAATATAAGATTTTAGTTTTTTCTTTCTTCTCTTTATCGGATGTCTGTAATAGCTCCTCTAGATCACACAATGTGGAACTCTTCTTTTGCATTATTTCGTATCCAGTGGGAAATGAAATCTACATGTAAATTTGGGTCTCCTGACAAGTTCAAGTTTTGAAATTTCATTGCAAGGAAATGAAATGTAGATGAACAAAATGAATAAATCTTTGCTTCTCATCAAATGAATTGAAATAATATAACAGTAAGCATCATTTCAGAGTTAAATGTTTTGTTAGTTAATGAACTTATATCTTCGTCATGTTTTACTCATTGAGCTTTAAAATCTTGAAACATTGCATTTGTTAGCTCATTCATTATGTTTCATAAGTCATTGAAGGCTTCTAAGTGGTTACTGAATTTTAACACGTTATACTTCATCAGTTACTCAACATGTTACATTAGTCACTGAGCCTATATAGATGTCACATTTTACTCACTAATTTTTAAAATATATTCAAATGGTTATTGTACTTTATAATGTTTTCGAGTAAAGTTGATTTTTTATGAGATTTGATTTAGATCAAAATGAATTAAAATAAAATAAATAATGAACAGATAATGAGACTTTCAATTTGAGATGATACCATTGATATCGATCAAGAAGATATAATTTCTCTATTTATCAAAAGCTATGATCAAAGCTACAGCATGTTAGATTCAAATTGACATGAATCTTACTTTAGATTATAAATTTTCATTTACATCGAGAAAATAAAATTGAAAAATTAGTTCTTTATTTTGATTGAGATCATAGACACAAATCAAGAAAATAAAAAAACATATCTTAAACATGCAGTAAAATTTTCAATTTAGAGTAATAATATTAATCAACAATAACAACATAAGATTTTTGGAGTTGTCTCAAGCAAGAGGAAAGAATGTCGTTGTCTTCGTATATGATATTTTAGACTTCAAATTTTTCAATTTTTGAACTATTATATTCAGTGAGTACAGTTCGGTGACTAATTGAAAATATTTTAAAGTTCAGTAATAAATTATGTTGAATGTATAACTTTGATGCCTTATGAAACATGCTAGACGATTGATGAAGTGAAACATGTTAAATTTAAGTAATAAATTGAAAAGCATTTTTAAAGTTCAATGACTAATGGAACATGACGAGTGAGTGATTAAGTGCAATTTGTTAAAGTTCAATGACGAAATGAAAGCATTTTAAAGTTCAACGAGTAAAGTGTGATAGAGATATAAGTTTAGTAACTAAAGAAACATTTAACTCCATTTTTAGGCTGGACGTAGTCCGATTCGATTCTCTTTGAAATCCAGAATCATAGGAAGAGGAAGCATTTGGGTATTTAGAAAGTGGAACCGTCGGGTCGAAATTCAATTATAGAAGTGTAAGGTCAATTCAGTTCTGTATAATATTTTATTTTTTTTGAATATTTACAACAATGTTATATTAATTTAACTAATGACACGTTCAATTTTAGCTCTTACAGGATAACGTAGTTCAATCCCGTGATATCGTTTTGTGCCTTCTTGTTGGGTTCTAAATAGTTTTCACTGTTAAAATCACCTAGATGAAAAATATACTAAGTTTACAATAATGAAGGGAGGCATAGTCGAGCTTTCAATTCGATTGATCTAGAATGAAGGAAATGGCACTACGATAGAATAAGAGGTTTGAGTAAAATTTAAATTAATTTCATTAAGCTGGACTTGGGCTGAAAATTAGGAATAGGAAAATCATATTTTGAATTTGAGTTAAATTAGTTTGTTAGCAAATTTATTTAGAAAAAAATAATTGACTTATTTAAGATAACAAAAATTAGGGAATTTAGTTATTCGATTCTTGCTCTATAACCGATAATCGAACCAAACTCGGGTTTCAATTCAAATATTCATTCGAATATTTAATTTAAGAAGAATCGCTCGATTCGATTTGAGACTTTTTGTCTAGCCTTCACCATTTCATATCCAATTGAAATTGTTATGGATGTGCTACATTTGATATTCTACAGAATGATGAATAAGATGATCAAAATCTTTCCGACACTTTTATATGCGACGCCATGTGCAAGGGAAAATTTCCCAACTAAAGTTTCTAACTTATCACCTCAATCACAAGTCGGACATCAATCTTTAAAATGAAGATATTTACTCTGCCAAAAGTAAGAGCTTATCAATGAATAAAGTTAAGGAAATTTAGTCCAAAAATAAAAAATAAAAAATAAAAAAATGAAGATATTTGATTTTATTGTCCTAACAGAAGAAACTATTTTTAATTTTCATTAAATTGTAATGTGACCGACACAATTGAACTGATTTTCATCATTGAAGACCTATTATACAATTGTAATAAAAGTTTGGGGGGGGGGTCAATGTTTATATTATTAATCCTTGAATATCCATATGTTACTGTAACCATAGTTTAAGGAACAAAAGTGCAATTTTCCTTATCATAGAGGTACAAAAAAAGTAGAAAAAATATACGCCGTTGCCGGGGATCGAACCCGGGTCACCCGCGTGACAGGCGGGAATACTCACCACTATACTACAACGACCTGTTGCTCACGGGAATCAAAATACTATATTTATTCTAATAACGTTCTTGCCTGTCTATTCATTTCCTCTCCAAGGTTATGTCATTATGTTGCGTGCTGATTTTGTTAAAACGAATGCTACTTATTCATCACGAAAGAAAAATCTCTAGTGAATGTTCCCAAACCTACAAGACTTTTGCTTTTGAGTTCTTAATTTTTTGATTTTGTCGTCTGAGTTTCGATTTTTCAAGTTTGTGTAGAAGTGGTTTCCGAAGTGTATTTATTTATGAAAATTGTACTTCATTTAGAAATACAATTGTAACCTTATTCTTAGCCCCCGTTAAGTGGAGATTAAAATAAAAAATTTTCATATATTTTATAAAAGTTGATAATTATATGATTAAAAAAGTTGTGAATCCCATAAAATGTATAGTTAAAGTAATTATTAATTTTAACTTTGGACTGAAATTAGATTTTAGTCCGTACCAAAAAGGGACTTAATTAAAATATGAATAAGATTTCTCAATTGAAATTGTGATGGATTTTAAAAGTTATTCTAAATTTAAGTGTTTTCAATTGGGATTTTAATAAAATCCTTTAAAATTTATGTATTTTCAATAATTAGTGAATTCATAAAGATTTCATTAATAGAAGAATATTAAAAGATTTGAATGAATTTCAAGCTTAAAAATACATATAAGTAAATTTTTTGAAATTTCAACATATTTGATGAGATTTTTATGTAATTTTTAAGAATTTATAATCTTTTAAAATTCATTAAAATCTTAAGAAATGAAAACAAGAAGTTTGTTGGTGGATTCAAAAAGTACAATAGCAAAAGGGAAGCACTCAAGTGACCTAACTTCAATTCTA